AAATTAATAAGGAACAAAGGACTGCCTGCACACAGCATAACAACTATTTTGTTGGCAGTTTGACATGAAACTTGACATGAGATTTCCAAAGGAAGTATTAACCACAACAAATTATTTAGATTTATATCTATATATTTAGATGGATTAGAATCCATTTAGAAAAATCACACCAGTACTTAAGTACACACACCTAATATGGCGGAATGTTGAAGAGCTACACTATTTCGAATCAAAAAGCTATTGACTGATCTCTTCATATACCGCTATATATCCAACCAAAACACTCTTTACTAAATCTGTTCAAATCACAAAGACAAAAGAAGAAAATTAACTGATGAAAATAACTCAGATCAAAAAGCAAGGACTTGCTTAAGCACTGTCTCTCTAAACAACTGCCTTAACTTAAAATTTAAGTTTCCAAAACAGTACTGTTTACAGTATTCTTAAGGTTTTTCTCCTGTTTTCACTCTCAAAGGTAAGAAGTAAGTTCTAACTACCAACACTTTAGGCAAAGAAAGTGAAATCTATGACTGCCACTGAAATTTGACAACAAAGTCACAATCACAGCAGATTAGATCTCACTCAGCTCTCCGGAGAAATGACATGTATCAAAAGGACCCAACAAACCACCCTTCTTCACCCTCACCCCACCTGAAAAGCCTGGATCACTCGGCCCATTGATAACCTTAACTAATGTCTCTCACTCGGAGAAGACAATCACCGACCTACAACCGAACACCAGAACCGGAGGAGCTTTATCCAGAACACGACCTCAAGAATATAGCAGGCCACTGTTTCCCTGAACCGACGCAGTGCATTCCCTTCATCTTTGAACATCCTTCCCTGGGATGCCTGCCCGGGTGAGACTCGAGCGCCACGCCAAGGGTCCCTCCCGAGGCAGACTCAGTACATCAAAACAGCGCCCAGAACTAAACCCACTGCGCGTTAGACCACGCATACACATCAGGGTGGGTTTAACTGCGGATACGAACATTGGAGGCTAAATTCCTGGCAAGACGAGGGCTGCTCTCGGAACAGCCTATCCGTGCCCGCTCCAGCGGAGCGATGTCCGGGAAAGCCTCTCCACGGCCGGCCCATGGGGAATGCGAGGCCCCCGACCGCAGCTTCCCGGGGAAGGCGCATCCGGCCGGGCAGAGGCCCCGGAGGTCCCTGCAGGCCTAAAGCACGGCAGGAACCGCCCCAACCCCGGCCCGGCACCCTCAGAGCCGCCACCCTCAGCCGCCCCAGGAACAAAGCGGGATGCAGCGACCAGCGGCCGTGCCCTTGCGGAGAAGGCCGGTATCGGGCCCCGGCCCTCCTGTGGGACTGCCAGGACGCGGATACGAATGGACCCCCCCCCACCTCTGAGCATCGCAGCCCGGTGCCGCCATTTTGCGGCCCGGCGCGCTGACATGTCGCGCGCCGTGCGTGGCGCCGCCCCCCGCGCGTGCGCCCCGCGCCCGCGGCGGCCGAGCCGGGGCAGCTGCTCAGCGCCGCGGCGGCGGCGGAGACAAAGCGCCGGGTAATGAATGGGACGGGCCCGCCCGGCCCTTCCTCTTAACTCCTTCGGGTCCGGCCGGGCGGCGGCAGCGGCGACCTCCGGCTTCCCCCACGGCGGCCGCCCGGGGAGGTGAGTAGCACTGTTCCGGCACCGGGAGGGCGCCGGGCAGGGCGGTACAGCTCTCTGGTCTCACACACCCCCCCTCCCCCTCCTGTGCCCGCCACCGCCGCGTTTGGCCTCAGCGGCCTCGGTGCCTTGCGCGGCCGGGGACCTGCGTCCCGGGCCCGGCGGCGCCTTGTCCCTCCCAGGAACGCCCGCGGGACAGTGCCGCTAGGCCGGGGAGGGGGCGTGTGGTGTCGGGGCAGTGCAAGGAAGCCGGGAACCAGGCCCGCGGTGCCGGCTCCATTGTCTGCGGGGCCCCGCAGGGGGCCCGGACGGCCCGGTGAACTGAGGTCGCTGGTGCCTAGGGGTTCGGTGCTGTCTCGGGCTGCCCGGCGGGCCCCCAGCGTCCCCCGCCCGGGGAGGGGTGCCCGCCGCGGCGCCGGGTGCGTCTCGAGTCCCCCCGGCATTGTGCGCGGTGCGGGCCGGGCCGGCGGGACCTGCCGGGGCTGAGCGCCCGCGCCCACCTGGCGGGGCCGCAGGAGCCGGGCCCGCGGAGGGAGCGGTGACCATGTGGCCGCTGCCATTCCGACCCAAAATGGCCCAGGTAGCCCCGGCGTGGAAAGCCCACCGCCCTCCTCTGGGTGCGAACACCCGGCATTAGGGGCCGCCTGGGGTACAGGCTCCCGAGTCGATGCCGGGACCGGAAAGCCCGGGAAATCCTGCAAAGCGCTTCCCCCCCGAGAAACAGGACACGAGGTGGGCAGGCGCCCGCCAGCGGCTTCGGCCGCAGCGTAAGCACCGCGTCTGCGCTTATGTGCGGTGAAGTTCCAGCTATCCCTTCTGGGGAGAGTCGCTCAAGAATGGTGTCTCGGAAAAGTGCAGAATTTAGCTTTCTTGTAGTGCTGCTCTCGTTTTCTGCTTGGGGCGTGGTAACTTTGCTTAAAAGTGTCTTTTGTAGCTTCTAGATCTACACTGAGACAGCTGCTGATGTTACACTGCTTGTGTTAGAATGCTTACTGGAGTTCTTAGGGTGTCCAATACTCTTAAAGTTGTCTGCTGCATATACAGCCTACTAAAAGTATAAAAACATGTATTATTGTATTGAAAGGTTAAAGCCTCTTTTGCCTTAATGGTGGTTGTACTTATTGCTAAGTTCAGTAGAGTTAGGCTTTGCAGTGTAGAGACCTTTCTCCGTTGTGCTTGTGTTAGAAGCAGTCCTGTCTTCTTTCTGGGGCTTCCTTTGAGAGATTTCAATAATTTAGCATGAGCTGTCATGCTACACCTATAATAGGATGCAGAGGAAGCTTTTCAAGCCCCCATAATGTGAATGTACTTTCCAGACTTTCCTTACATGTTATTGTCTTTAAGGCCCACTATACATGTGTATCTGTTTTGATTTTCAAGAGCATGAGCACAGCATTTTTCTTCTAAAGGTTATCTTCAGTAATGCAGTGTTTCACTTTAAGAGCAGGCGTCCACCTTTGGGAGAACATTTGTGGCTTACATACTGGGGGGAATGAAGTCTGGAAGACTTTATCAACTATCCCCAAGATACTATGCTGCTACTAGGAAGCCTGTGTTTGTGCAAATACTGGGCAGGGGCATTCTAATTATTATTCACTATGGAGACTGGTTTTGCAGAGGAAAAAAATCTGTTCAAAATAAATTATTTTGTGTGCTTTTAGAAGTTTGAGTACTGTCCGCTAGGTGTAAGACAAACAGACAAGGTGCTACTTCGGTATTTTATGTTGCTAGTACCTTTCAGCTTTAACAGATGTTGAGGAATTTATTCCATACAAGTTCTCCAGAGGAGTCAAATGTAATAATTGATTGAGAATAAGTAAAATGAAGTACCTAAACTAAACATCTTGGAGAAAAGTTTTCTAAACATTTGTACTGTTACATAACAATAACTCTTTTACTTCTTGTGATGTAACACCCTCCATCCTTGTGACTGCTCTGCCTTCTTGGAAGCTCCTGGTGAGCGCTGACCAAACCAGCTGAGTGGTGAAGCGAGCCTTGACTGTACCAGTTGGGCCGCGAGGCACTCCCTGATCCTACCGGGAGCTCTGGCGTGGTAAAGCTGGGAAACAAAGGATAAGCAATTACCTCTTGTGGTCTTGGTAAACCATTTACCTGGATGTAGCCTGAGTGGAACGGTATCATTGTTACTGCACTTTGGGGAAAAAAGCTTAGTAGTTACAGACTTGATTTACGGTCAGGAAGGAAGGTTACTGATGACCAAAGCCAGTCACCTTCTGACCCTATAAACAGCAGTCCAAGTGAGGCTGTTTGAGCTCGCCTGGACCGCAGCAGCCTGTGTCAGTGCCTCCCAGAGCTCACAAACCCTCAAGTGTGTGGTACTCAAGGATTGTCAACCTCTCACCCCCCATCTCCATGTTGCTCAAGGTGCAACCATTGCCTATTGGGAAATGCAAAGGGATTTGACATATTTTAGTGAATTTGAAGGGAATTTTTCATAGCAGCCTTTACATGCGTAGAAATTATGCTACAAATGTTACTATTTTGAATCCATAGTTAATTCATTGTTATTGTGAAAACTATCAAATCACTTTGTAAATGTTAAAGTACTCAAGTATTAAGTGCTGCTAAATCCTTCTGCACCCTTATCTTTCTACTTATATCCTTTGCAATCTTACTGCATTTGCATTCACAGCTTTTGTGTAAATCATTCCAAATTGCTTCTTATTTGATCTTTCCTTGTATGCTTTAGTCCGTGTAGTTAAGTAGTAGAGTGAACCTTGTCATTGAACTCTGTGAAGTTGCATTTTCACATATCCATATTAAGCACTGCTTTTGCCAGTACCTTTGACAGTGTTGCTTTAAGCAGTCAAACCACTCATTCATGACGTCTGTATAAGGCAAAATTGTGACAGGTACGGCATCGTCATTGATAATGTCAGAGGCAAGGTATAGAACAGCAGAAGGCTAGACAGGTGATGAGCTTAGAGTACTGTTTGCTAACTTTTTGTTACTTTGTCTGCTGCAGCCTCTCTATCTGGTGCTTCCCTCTACTATGGCTTGTTTTAAACCACTACAGTAAATGTCTAGAGCAAGAACCGTGTTTGCAGAACAGCCAGTGTCACAGGTGGTTAGTGCAGAAGGGGTCTTCAATAAACATTAACACACCACTAAGACTTATAACAGGGCCTTGGAAAATACAAGAGGGCAACAGAATTTTACATGCTTATTTAAAATTGTCCATCCGCTGAAGTAGAATATCCTATCAAATACTTTTAAAAACTAGGTATTACAGAAGGAAGTGGCCTTTGAGCCTGCTGGATCTTTCTGTTTTCTTCTCCTTTTTTTCTTGGAATTCGTTCTTTTGTGAGATTTTAGAATCCTAAGTACATTAACTTCTGAGAGATTTTTTTTTTCCTTTGAGAAAGTTTGAGTTAAAGAATGTAAATATTGTATTTCCCAACAGCTTGCTGCATTTTATTGCCATTCACAGTGAAGAATATTTACAGGGGCGTTTGTAAATCCTGTTTCTTTGCAGCTTGCTTTTAATTTTTTAAGAGTTTCATCTTCAAAGTGAGTATATTTTGCTATGGGGTTGCCACTGTAATGAACAGTTAAAATAATCCGCCATATGCAAATAGCACTATGATACATGTATACTGGCTTAGTTTTATATTGAAAAGAATATTATATGTAGTTTCGTGGAGAATTTTGCACCATATAGAGCAGAGTGTTTAACTCATCATGACTGACGTTTTTTCCTGAAGTAGGGACGATCTTTGTGTATTTGTAGTATCAACATAAGTAATTTACATAATGTTACCTGTTATACTGTATACTTTCAAACAGACTTCACAAAGAAAGAGTTCTTGTATGGCAGATGTGCCTTGTTTTCTGCACATCTTTGGCTATTTATTTTGTATGTGTTACTGGCATCCTCAATATTGGTCAATTTACAGCTATGGAATTGCTTCATTTCAGCCAATTAGTGAAAAAATTTAGTGGTTTCTGTGGCCTAATGGTAGCTTTCAAGTGAAATCTAGAGTTTAAAGCTCTCAGGTCAAGAAGTAAGAAAAACTAAAGCTTTTATCGTAATTTTTTGGTCCTTTTGTTTGTTTATTTGATTAGTTTTTTGGGCGTTTTTTGCTTCTTTGTTGGTTTACTGAAGCGAAGGAACTTCTGTCCTAAATTAGTGTGATACATCGTTTAACCATGGTAGTATTGGTTTAGGTTTGGGGTTGTGGTTTGGTTTTGGCTTTTTTTTTCTGTGATGAGATAGAACTCAATATGATGGGCTGTTAAAACAACAGCAGAGAAATAGCTTGATTTTTAAGGCCTTTATTTTCATTCAGGTGTGATGATTCAGGATAAATAGTGTTTTTTTGGTTTTTTTTTTATATTGAACAACATTTGAAGGTGAGGTATGAGTCTTTTCTATAGTCTAAGACTGGTTTTCAGTGGATGTTGACATAAGAAATATTATTATATTACTATAATCTTTGTGTAAACTCACAACCTGTGTGCTCTCTTTAGCAATTACTGCACAGTTGTGTCCTTTCCATCTCTCACTTCTTTCCCTTCCTCCTTTGTTGTTTAAAGACACATTGGGTTGGACAATCCAGCTCTGAAAGTTTAGAAGGTTACTAGTTTTTTGTTAGAGCTGTGTGAAAGGTTGCTGGATTTTCTCTTTTTTCTTTTTTTTTATGTCTTCTAGCTTGCATTCACTAGTATCATACAGATATGATTTTCCTGTGATGTGTGAGAGTAATTTTGCAGTGACTGTTCAGATTTTCTGTATATTAAAATAAAAGCCAGTTCTGAGGTTCAGTACTCATAAGCTTGAAAATCAAGGCTGAAAATAGAATTTTTAACAGCTGTACATTTTAGCAATACTTTTTTGCAATTATTTGCAAAATATATGGGAAAGGATATTTAATAATATATTTCTCTCGTGTGACAATGATCAAAGAATTTGTGCCTGTTTCACCCCAAATAGGTTAAGTGGCTTTTCAATAATTACTCTGCTTACCTGTTGCTGTAATTCTGTAGGCTATTTTCTGAATCAGTGCCTGCCTCTAAAGAAAATAATCTGAGATCCAGCTAAAGTTACTTTTTCTTTGTTATTCTTCTCACAAAAATAAGCAATCAAGAAAACCCAAACATTTATTTGAATTGAACAAAATGTTTGGCCTAGCTTGAAACTGTAACAAGTTTAACAAAATCAGAGGGGGGGAAAATGGGAATGGAAGGTTTGGGGGATTCTGGTGTTTTTTAAAGACATCGGGGAGCATAAAGATGCATATTTTTACTTTATTTTGCCTGTAGTCTGATGGCTCTGGCACTTGCAAGGAATGTGGGAGAGCCAGGTTTACTTCCCTGCTTTGCCTGAGGAGCTTAATCCACATCTGAAGAGAGTTCTCTAACTGCTCCACTGATCACCCTGCCTCTGGTGGGTCTATGTCTCCTTGGCTGATACCTTCCTCTCTGCATACATTATTTAAATGTTGCTGTAATAGGGATAGCTAAAGTATCTCAACAGTCAAATTAGCCAGCAGCACAGCTCTGGAGGTGTTTCAATTGCTTAAGAGGCACTTGGGAGTTTTTTAAGTAAAAAATGTCAGTAAGAGAAGTGATATATAGCTCATTTCATAATGCACACTAAGCCAGTCATCAGGACTATCTGCCCTCTGAGAGGTGATCTCCTTCCTAAGGAAAAAATCCTAAGTGTGCATCTAAATATGCATGTTTGTACATAAATACATATATATGTATATATATATATATATGTAGTGTTAAACATCTCAATCTGATCAAGAAGAGTAATCTCTGCAATATAAAAGAGAATGTCTTGCACATTATGGATTTTCTAAGGTGGCAAAATGTTTTCTTGGTTTGTTGGGTTGGGTTTTTTCAGTGTACTGGGACCTCTGCTCTGTGACACTTATGTCCGTATATTGGTGATATAAGTGTGACTGAAGTTGCAAAACAAAAAATGTGTCCTGTGATAGACAGTTTTGGTCTGTTTAATTGTTAAGTCAAAATATGTGATTTAATATGCTCCACTTGCAATCGCTCCTTTCTCATACACAGGGAGTGATAATCTTGTGTTGAACCTGTGGTATTGCATGTTGATTAATACATGTGGTTGGTGCAGTGTATAAGCAATATATTTAGCTTATGAAGAGAAGGTGTAGCAAGTTGAATCCTCTAGTGCAGCAAGCTCCTTTGAAATCTTGTATGTAATGTAGATTCTGTTTCATTCAGCATAAGCATAAAATATAGAGCAGTGCTAAAATAAATACAAAAATTTTAGTTTTAAATTTTATTTTAGCAATCATCTGAGGGATTTTTGTTTTTATTTTGCTTTGGTGCTCTAGAAGTGAAAATGTCTGATTTTTTTCTTGATAATTGTGAGGGCTAGAGATTTGAAAAAAGGTGAGAGGTAAGTGCAGCTCCTGGAGCTGTCACCTAAAGAGAAGTTTGAAACATCCCATGAGTTGCCACTTAACTGTGACAGTTAATGTGTTTAAAAAATATCAAAAGTAATTACTTTCTTCTTTTCCTTAGATACAGTCATCTCATTAAGTTTGAGTAGCAAGTATTTAACCTCAAATGAAGCTGCCTGCCTGCAGTGGAACAGAAGTGTAAGTTTGTTTGTTTTTCTCAATAAACTAGTGAGCAGCTTGTTTGTTTTGGGTCTTGTATCACTATTTTTATTAATTTAAAGGAAGACAATGGAAAAAAAGTAATGAATAATTGTATGCCTGTGCATTGACTTGTATGGAGCTTAATAATTTAGCAGGAGGTTTGTATGAGTGCCTGAGCGTTAAAACTTAAGTTTGGAAGCCTGGATATCTTTAGAGTGGTACAGAAATAGTAACTATTTCATGATTTATGGGGCACTTCTTACTCTGTGGTATCAGCTGGCATATATACATCCTTACCCTGAATTACACCATTTAAAAAGGGGAGGTAACTTAGATGCTGCATTCATCCTGTACTCAGATTACAGATGTCTTAATCAGATTTCATGTCTTCACTGAGCGAGTTAGTTTTAATAATTCTTCTGGAATTTTTATCTGAAAATATTAAAACTTTATATGTTCTATTTGAGATTTTGAATACAGATTTTTTTGGAAGCCTGAGATTCCTGAGTAAGATGCTGTAGAGAAAAAATTTTTCATATCAAGATAAGCATTTATATGTGGAGTAACAATAAATGTTGTTCTTGTATAGTGTTTCAGAGCTTTGTATTTATTTCTTATCCCATCCCCTCTGTGCCTTGAATGAAATAGTTCAGTATTTAAGCAATCTGTATTATTGGTTAACATGCATGTTAGCAACAGATCAGCAAAATGTCTAAGATGGAGAAAACATTGAGCTAGGAAGTCTTGGTGAGGTCATAGAATCAGAAGAATGGACCTCTAAAGGCCACTTAGTCAAACCTCTTGCCATGAGGAGGGATATCTTCAACTAGACTACATCACTCAGAACCCCATCCAACCTGGCCTTGAGTGATGGCCAGAGACGGGACATCTACTGCATCACTGGAAAACCTGTGTCAGCATTTAACCAGCATCGTAAAAAATCTATTCCTTGTATCTAGTTTGACGCTACCCTCTTTTCATTTAAAACTATACCCCTTTTCCTATCATTACAGGCCCTACTAAAAGGTTTGTCCTTATCCTTCTTACAAACTCCTCTTCCTGAAAGGCTAGTCTAAAGTCTCATTGGACCATTCTCTTCTGAGTAACCCCAACTTTCACAGCCTTTCTCTGTACGACTGTGGTCTCTGGAGGAAGAGAAAATTAGAAGTATGATTCAGATTCATTCCTTGAAGGAAACTTTTCCTAGGTGACACATACAGAAGATGTGGGAGATTTTGTTGCATACTAAATCTGCCTGTGGATTGTCATCAGTCTAAGCAAAAATGAGCTGCTAGTGCCTTCCAAACCCAGAAAAGAGCTGAAGAACAGGAGAGAGTAGTTGTTTGTACCAGCCTCCCAGGTCAGTTTTAGACCACTGTAAAGAAATCTGACAAAAGAGAATATTTTTTTTCAGGAATATCCAAAGTTCACTCTCTATGTAGTTAATGCTGTATTTTAATATACTTATCTCAAGGTCACTGAATGCTTTGCACGGTTTCATTATATGATGTCAAGCATTGTAGTATATTATAAAGTGCCTTTCCATTGTGACTCTCAAGGTTAAATGCCTTCAAAAAAAATAATCCACTTTAGTGCTGCCTGTCTAATGAAAATTAGTATCTGGTCTTTGTGTACCTTCAAGAACTATTTTTTGATTTATAGCCCCTTATGAAATAATTGTTGACTGCAAGCTCAGTGTTCTGATAGATCCTTTCTTAATTTGTGATTAAAACAGCACTCTCTTGACAGTGGGTACCCTAAAAACAGATACTAACATAGAGCTGGAGTCTCCTGAAAACAGAGATTCTGCTGTCCAGATCTTACCTTCTCTGTTAAAATTTTAAATTTTGGTAGGTTGGCAGTGTTATCAGTCTACATCCTTTAGCACTGTAAGAATTCATCTTTCAGTGCGTATGCTATATAGTAAGTTTTATGTGCAGTTTAGATCACTGAAGAAAATCTAGTTCCTGATTAAAGGGATCTAGTAGTGCTAGATGTGCCCTGAGAAGGTGGGAGAGAACTAAGCAGTGTGCAAACGGCTGCCTGTTTGTCTCACACCCAGCTACTGATTCCTAGCTCATGACAACTTTTTTTAATTTAAGATTTGAGACTGCAAATCCCAGTGCTAAAATGTGGCATAGCTCTTGGCAATCATATAATTTTTTTCTGTTTTTTTACCCTGTGGTTCCCCTTCTTTATTCTTCGTTAAAGGTGGAAACATGATATGCATGATATGGGAGCATATGTACAGACGGGAGTTAAAAAAAACGACTGAAAGACAAGAGTGTAAAACTCATTTCATGGGAGGTTGTCACTTGCTGTGACTTGCATTAATAGCTGCTGAAACAGTGGGAAGAGTGGGTCAGTTTTCAGGGAGTCAGTGTGCAGATTGTGCTGTGTCAGCAGCATCCTTGCTTTGGTACTGGGAAATGGGAGGAACTGAGGTTCTGTTTGTTTCCTTTCTTAGTGATTTTGAGTTGTCTTCAGTGGCTTACTGAACTGTGGGGAGACCATAATCCATTTATGACAGGAAATACAATGATGCTCATAAAGAGCAGGAAGATTCCTCGTCCTTTTCTCTAAATGTTTTTATTTCCCTTTTCTATGCCTCACAAAATATTAGGTTTATTAATATAATTATTATTAATAATAAAAATCAAGTGAATGGAAAGGGTTGTCTATTTCTTTGTCTGTTCTTGTACTAATAGGGTTGTGGATCCTGCTCTGAATAAGACACCCATGTAGTTGTACTATGTAAAACTTATTTGAAAAATAAGTAGCATTACATTAATTAAAGCTCATGAACTGCACTGGTTAGAATAAGTACTACAAAAAAAGTTTTATTCTTAATTTAAAATTTCTTGTATTTTTTGCTCCTTAAGCAAAGCCTTCTTTGATCAAATTAAGATCTGTCTATGGCAGTATGATGGTTCTTCTAAAAATAATTTATTTTGAGAGAAGAAGCTATTAGCAGGAGTAATTTGTTTGTCTGGGGTGGAAGAGTGACTTTGTACTTGCTGCTAGTGCTCACTGTGGTGCTGGTGGAAACAGTGTGGGCTTCCCTTATCATGGTTGTTTGAATCAGTTAAGTCTTTACTAAAGTCTTACCTTGTCTTGAAGAAGACAGAGAATATATCCTAAAAGAGATTAAGAGGAGAATACCTCTTGTCATGAAGGCTAGGAACAGGCTGGTTGACAAGTAAATACCTAGATATGCACACTCATTCCTCCCTCCCTCTCCCCTGTTCCGTGAATAGGAAGGTTATGAGAAGGAGAGAGATGTGATCATTGTTTTTTTTAACCTGGGATTTCAGGTGAAAATGTCAGATGCTACTGATGAACGAACAATTTACTTAGAAAATACAGAATGACAAAAAAATACTTGAAAGAGGCATAAGAAGTTCACGCCCTATTGTGGGCATGTGCATTATGCCTGCGTGTGACATGGAATCTTGGTTTTAAAGTTATTTCTTAGTTTCTGTTACAGTTCTTTTACTCATTGGCACAGTGGTGAAACTGAGTGTTTCTGAATTCTAATTACATTGGATAGTATTGTGAATATTGTTTTCTGTTTTATTTAGTAGTTTTAGTAGAGATGATCTTTTCCTTACTTCAAGAAAAATCTACACATGTTTCTTCAGTTTATTACAAGAAAGAAGGTACCTTCGTTGAAAATGATTCTCCAAAGAAATTTTTCTTCTCCATACCGGATATCTTCTGACTTGAAAAAGTTTTATGACAAAAGAAAGATTAAGCTTAGGTTTAAAAAAGTCCCAATGAAGTATTTAAACTAATGTTCGTACTCCTGAAAATATGTTTTTTTGGTTTTGGGTACCATGAATTGCCTTTTCGTTCTAACCTTCCTTTGAGTTCACAAACATTCCAGGATACAAATGTTTTAATAGAAGCATAGTATTATGTCATGTTACACATATACAAATACCATATAAATAATGGAAAACCTCTCAATAGCACTATTGAAACTAACTGGCATCAATATGAGCACAGAATTGGGTTCACTGGGTAGCTGTGAAGGGTTTTTTGAAACAGACATCTTCAGACTTCATCTGGTTTGCATGAAAATAAATACTACTACATAGTGGTCGTAGCAGTTTAACAGATATGGTTCTGTTTTGTATATCAGAAAAATTATAGTTTTAACAGGTTAGTGTAATATATTCTGTAAAGGACTCTGTTTACAAATCTGTGAGGTCTTTTTCCACTTCCTACTTAGATGGATGTTTTCAGCAAGAGTTCCAAGACTGACTACACAAAACATGGTATGTCTCTCATTACTGTTTTGTTTTGTTTTGTTTTTCATCATCCTGCCTATTCAGCTTTCTTCTTTACAGGTGTCTCATTTCTTACTGTTTGAAATCATCCTTAAAGTGTTTGAAGTTTCACTCTTACTGGATTTAAAGATAGACATTTCACAAAAATAAAACCCATAAAAGTGTGTGGTTTTTATTATGTTGCAAGCTAGGAAGGTAGAGTATCTACTATCCCTTTTACTTCATCAGCTGTGGGCTGCACGGGGAAGAGTCTAATGGGCTATTCAGAGGATTGATCACTTGGAGAGAAGAGTTGTTAGAGGAGCTTTGCTTTGAGTTTTCTGATGCTTTTCTGAAAGCAGGCTGCTGTTCTCTAGCAATATGGAGTAAATCTTCAGTCTTTTGCCTTTCCTTCTTTTCTGACTTATCTATTGTTACTGCAGTTTTGATTGTGTGTTTTTCGTATCCTGCGATAATACTGATGCATCTTTCCTACTCTGTTCCTATTTTTATCTTCTCCATTTTACCCTTGTGTTGTGTTACTGCAGCCTTCATTTGTCTCCAGTCAGCCCCAAATTGTACAGCATGCGGTACTAAAAGCAGCTTTGATGTCCTGCTCCAAAAATTCTCTAAACCAAACAATACATGCTTCAGCTGTGTAAAAAAAAAAAAAAAATCTGATTTTTTTTTCCTTAAGAAAACCACCTTATTTCTTATAACATTTTA